CTGGTTCCCATGATAGGAGCCTGGCAAGGTCTGACTTGCACTGTGGTCATACTTTGTTCCTCTTAATGTGTTGACCAGTTTCAGAAGATGACAAAGATTAATTCTCCAACAAGTTCTGTAGGAGAAAGTCCCTTTGTCCTGCCATCAGTAAAAGGTAAGCTCCCATCCATCACCAGCTGGACACAGTCTGCTTGACATTTCAGCCTTTTTTGGCATCTCTTTTTCCACTGAAAAGTGGATCTAGATTTACTGGATTTTGCCTCCAATTTTTCCTTTTGTGCAACCCAAGTTTTTCTGATGCTGAAGCGACACAAGTCCCCTCTGAAGTCGTCCCCCTCTACATACACTGGGGACAAGGTCCCACCAGTTGAAGCGCCCAACACACTGAACCACTCAGACTCCAAGTTCACCAGGACTACAAAAGGTGGACTTGGGCAAAATTCAGTCTCAGACGTGTTGGAAAAGTGCTGTTCTCCCTCTTTGCTGTGTGAAAATGCTCTTGTGACCGATTGACGTGGGCATGCAGAGGCAATCAGCAACCTGCCTGCCCTTAGTCTGTGAACATGGACTGCTCGGGGCATTCATCCCAGTGATTGTTAGCAGGAAGATGGAGCAGTGCTGAGAAACCAAGAGTATCCCTCAGCCCTATGGGAGCTGCCCAAGCTGTTGACCTTGTAAACTGGCTACTAGGGGGCTGAATTCACTGAGGAGACACATTGTGTGGTAGAGTGTCCTTACCAGCCAAGAGACAATGCTGCCCTGGGGACAGGGGTTCTGGCACATTGAGAGATCTGACCAAGGACCAAGATTTTTTTCTGCTTTGAAACCACTCCAGAAAGAATTTACATACTTTTTTTTTTTTTCCCTTATTTCCCTCCAAGCATCTTAGTCTGCTGCAATGTCTGAATATGGTCCAATTGGTTCACAAATGTCTTTGTATTGCCTGGCTGCTTATTCCCTGTCATTCCCAGTGGGGAAACTGGCCACTCAGAGACTGTTCAGCACAGAATGGGAAGGAGGAATGAAATCTAGTAGGAAGGCCTGAGGAAGCTGCCACTAATGCCTGAGATATAGAGAGAGGGTCAGCACACCTTCTGGCTCCCAAACGTGTTTGAAATCCAAGGGTGGTTTTCTGGTGGGTTTCTTGCCATCAGAAGGTAAGGGAATCCTTCACCCTTTCTTCTCTGCTCCTTTAAAACTAGATTGCTTGGCAGCTCCTAATCCTGTAGATAGCTATTTGTTCACTGAGTTTTCTCACACCAGCCGGGAAGCAAAGTCCTTCTGTGAGCTCTAATGTATCTGTGTGTTTTAATAATGCATTATTGTTGATTTTATACAAATATCACTATTTAGGAACTTCAAAGTCTTCGGTTTTCCCCCATCCTCCAGACTTTACTTCTTGCTGCTGCTGTTGTTGACACTTCCATGTATTTCAGCCTTGGAGAAATAAATATTTGTTTAGCTCTTCTCCTGCTGTGCCAGCTCAGTGCATTTGTTTAATGATGAGTTCAGTTCAGCTTTGCTTTAGGGAAATATATCATCCCAGAAAAGCAAGAGACTCTTTTGCAGACAAGTTGACCTGTGTTCTTGCCCCACACTTGCCACCCCATCCATCTCTTCCCCAGATTTGAGTTTGATTAAATAAATGTGCATGCAAAACTCCAAGGCAGTTGTGGGGAGGAGCCAAAGTTTTGCCTGTTTATTTCGCTACTCCATTTATCCTGACCTGAAATAGTGAGTAGAAGGTTGGACTCTAGCAGGTAGCTGCTGCCCTTTCTTGTCGTTACCTAAATTTTCTTTAATCTGTAATTTTCTTCTTATCATCTAAAATATCAAATCACATTTTGTCTTATAATATTTGCTTTAGAGCCAAACCCAAGCCTCTGTTTCAAAACATGTATGTGTAATGTTCTCTCAACCCCAACCTTCTTGAGTCAAATGAAAGATTATAGTTTTCACTCAAGACATCAAATTGGTCTATGCCATCAGATTTTTTTTAAAAATGAGGACACTGTTAACCTCCAAAATCTACATTTGTGAACCTAAATGAAGGTTCAACTTCTTTTTATTCCTGGAAATGCAGCATTACTTGGCAAAGAAATGAACATGGGATTTTATTAATGCCATTGCCATTTCAAGTAATTTTGCACAGCTGAAACTGGAAGTTTTCTATTAAACAAACAAACACCAACAAAAAAAAAAAAAAAGGGGGAGAGAGAGAAAACCCCATAAAACAAAACAAAAATCCCCAAACCCCACAAAATAGCATTATAAAAATACAAACTCTGGAAAGATCCAAATTTTCTTTTTTTGGCCTTTTACAAAACCTTCTTCAAATTATTTAAGCTACTTATGCTTCACTTTTGAAATACGGCAAGTATAATTTTGCCAATAACTACATTCAATTTCTGCCAGAAAGCAAAAAATCACTTCAGGGAAGTAACACATCAGGATCTCTCTTCATCTGTTTCCAGCTGATGAGGTTTCAGCCTATAGCAGAGATTGTTTGTTATTATGTTTCAGTGCATGACCTGGCACTTGTGCGGCTGAGTTTCATCTGACTACAATCACTCTGGCCCTCAAAGTCATCCCACAGTTTTTTTTATTTGTATGATATTCAGAACCTCCTCCATAATGATGATTCATTCCACAATGTGTCATCAGCAAATTTTGTTGGCATGGTTGTCCTTAACCATGCCAAGAAGTGTGATGAAAATATTATGTAAGATTTATCCTAGGAATCATCTATGAAGAATTCTACTCATAACCTTCTAGCCTGATTAAAATTATAGAAAATAGGAAAAGGACCTTATGTGCAAACTGTATCCCAAAGACATGAACTGTACTCAGCAGATACTTGTACAATTTGTTTTTAATCATAGTTGATGAGATTCCATAATCTTCATAGATACTCCGTATCAGTAACTGAGTCTCCTACTCACTGAAGTACTTCTATCCCTAATGTCTTCACTGAGTCACTTCTCCCACATTTTCTTTGTTTTCCCTGTGCCAAACACACACAGAGAATTAGCTCGTTCCCTTGTGAGTGATGCTTCTGCACACAAACCCTAAAATCTTGTCCTGACACATTAGTTGTCTCCTTACTTTGAGCTGACTCCATCCAGCTGATGCTGTCACGCATTAAAAGTTCCACCTCAGGCATTTGTTTGAACACAAAACACTATCCTCTGAAGGCAGTGTTCACTTGACTTAGGAAGCAATCCCCAGAGCACGATCATCTTCCTTTATGTTTCTGAAATTTAACTGAAGACAAAGGTTCCCTCAGTTTCAGAGTCTCAGCAGACTTCTGAAAGCTTCTTTTGCAGGAAGCCAGAGAACATTCCCTCTTGTAGACCTCTTCAAGTATTTTATTGCATGTATCAGATTAACAGTTAAGTTCCCCAACATTCCTTATGAGTGCTTTACCTCCCTGTCCCATAGGTATTCAGAATATGCTGAAGGCTTCTGTCATGTAATTTGGTGGAAATTATATTATATGTACGTAGCAGAATGAATTCTGTGTACCAATTACCACAAAGCTAAATATTATGCTACCACAAAGACAAGTTGCATTTGGAAACAACTATATATAATGCTAATAAGAAACGCACTTCCATCTTATTCTAATTAACCTGGAAAACCTTCCTTTTTCCAAATGAGAGAGACTTCAAGACATTCAGAATGTTAATAAACCCACAGGTATTTCCACTCTTTATATCTCCTGGCATACACTATTCATCAAGAATTGTTGCTCATTTCAGTCTGAGTCTGATTTTTCTCAGTCTAGAGAAGTTTAACGTTTTGAACCACTGCATCTAATTTTTTAGACGAAAAGGAAATCTTCTTTTCCCTGGTTTTGGTAAGAGGTGGAATTCCTAAATATTGACAATGTGTTAGCAAGAAAAGATACCAGCCTTAAGGCTCCTTAGGAGGACACAGCATAGCTCAGAGAATTCATCATGGGCACAATGACTGAACAGTAAGCTATGTTAAGGGTCCTTTGTGTTCACTGGCAACATAAAATTCTTACAGCAGAAGATATTATGACCTTTTATACAACAGATCCAAGTTGGATGTTTTTTTTGTGTGGTTGTCACTAGTTTGTGCTGAGCCCAGATTGGCTCAGTTTAATGGTTATAAGGTTTGTGAATAGAGTCTGAAAATCCAAATGAAATCAGAATCCATTTTTCTGTCTAACTGGTAGGAACAAGCTCTGAGACTTCAAACAACCTGAACATGAGCTGCCCTTTAGTGTCCAGATGTCATGCCTTCAAAGGAGAGCTAAAACTCATTTATGGAAATACTTGGAGTCCTCCCCTCCACCCCTCAAATGAATAGTCATAAAGCTGTAGGGTTCTTAAAGCCAGATCTTCAGTAATAGCACAAAATACTGCCTTTTATACTGTGCTGATAATGCTGTAGAATAGTGCAGTATATTTTTCCACCCAGAGAGCAACACCCAGTTAACATTTAAGTTAGTGAAGTGGAAATTTCCGTGACCTAATTTAAGAACCAGTCAAATGTCTTAGGTGAGGAAGTTTCACCAAAACGTAAATGCCACTGTATTTCTTCTTTGATTAAGAGAGTCCAGGTTAAGGGGTGGGGGAAAATGGTTATGATACAGGGGAATGCAGTAGAGAAGAAGGAATCCAATATCCAAGTAAGAGTACAGCTTAACTTCTGACCATGGGGCATCTGGAAGGTTCACTTTCAATTCATGCATATGACAGGCTTGCTCTTTGTTATCCAAAAGGGGGAGGAGAAAACCTGATATAACTAGGGAACTGAGATCAATTTTGTGAAAGTCTGTGAGGCATTATTTATAGTCTGTGTGCCAGAACCGTGCTTCCTCTCCAGGCCATAATCAGAAAATCAGTTCAGTCTCCTGTAGCGTAAATGAGATTGGGCAATGTGAATGAAGCTGCTTTCTCTTTTAACAGACTCCTTCCGTTGTTCCACTCCTGAACTCTCTTCATGTCCCTGTGTTTTTCCTCCTGCAGTCCAGTACATCGTTCAACAGAGATGCTGTGAAAGCAGGGACAGGCCGGCGTTTCCTTGGCGGGCTGTTAAATGATACATCCTACTGCTACACCCTGGAGGTCTCATTCTACAGCTACATATTGGGTGGACCTGCTTCTGCTGTCCCCTACACAGAAGAAGCCTGTATCCTTTTGAAATCCATCCTCCCCTTGCAGCACATATGAACTGGGCACTTAAGGTAAATACTTCTATCTCACTATAGAGTTTGCTGAGATGGGAACACACAAGTGGAAATGTGAGTCTGCTCCTGATGCTTTAATTTCCCTCATATTGATTCCCCATACTGTGGAAATTCAAGAAGAGAAAGACATTAGATCAAATAAGCCATTTCCCTCTTGTAGGAGATTGTCTCACGCACTTATTATAGAAACTAGTCCTGGAGAGCCTGTGATCCATTCCTTTCCACAGTCTTCCATTTCTTTCTTCATTTCTCTCCTTATTCTCTCATTATCCCTGTGTTTGTATTATTGTTTTAATAGCAAGTTGAAAGTGCATCCTTGGTACTGAGTTAAAACATCTTCTCTGCCTTTGAACTGCAGCCAAAAGGCTCTAAAGGATCCATTAGGTTCTGCAGCTGCCTCGGGGACAGATCTTTAAAGCCAGTTGACAAAGAAATGGAAAGTGAATTCTGAAAACAAAACCGACAAAGTTGTTGGCATTTTTGAGTGCTCAAATAGAAGCAATATTTCATTCCTCAAAAAACACATATCCATCTGGCTATCTCAATGTATCAGCCATTTGTAGAATTGTTCTGACTGGTCTCATGATCTGCTTTTATGTGTTTCTTTTTCTTTTTGTCACCATGCTCAATCAAATAGCCAGTGACCATACTTCAAGCTTGGGTGTTTTATTTCATTTTGTCATTCCATCTTGGCGGCTTTTGAAATTTTCACAGGTTTAGAAACACTGCAGAGGGAGCAAGATTAGTTGTGATTGCCTATTTACCTCTCCACTGCATTTTGGAAGTCAGGGAAGCTTTAGTGTAAGCAAGGGGGAAATTTTCATATGAGGTGTAATTCTTCACCATCCATGTATATGGGGACACTGTGAGGCAATAAGAGTGAGAAACAGGGAGCAGGGAATGTAATTGTTATTTATTTGGGGTTTCTGGTTTGACTTCTCCACCGAAAGAGAAATTTGGGGGCAAGAGGGGGATAAATATATTAAAGTGACTTATCAGGCTTGAGCATTTGGAATACAAGCTCTTTTTTTGGCCTGTAAGGTTAACTGTTTCCAAGGAACAGCTTTGTGCCATAAACGCCTATGTAGTATATCTTGCCACTTTCATTGCTGTAAGGTTTAGCTATTTATTTTCTTAAGTTGGTATTCTGGTGTTTCAAGAACCCATGCCTTGGTTTCACCTTTAATTTTTTTCCTCACTTAGTGCTCATTGTACTGAAAGCTGCCTATTTATCTTCCTTATTTATCAAGAACAATTTTTACAGTGGGGAAGGAGCCCCTATACAAATGAGATTACGATTCCCTTGTATATATTTTTCTTCATGATTTGTAGTTTGTGCTGGCTTAGTTTCCTTTTCCATAAAGATTCCTGGTTTGTGCTCCACAGGACAGAAGTTTCACGTGTGGGGTCTAACTTCTCTATTTGCTTGGCTTGCCTTGCCTTCTTCAGGCAGAGCTGCTCCATTCTCAGCTCAGTCATTGTGCCCATCAGCAGCTGGAGCACAGAAAACAGGTCCCAAATCAGAGATCCTTCTTGGAGGTGATGTATGGAAAGCTCAAGCAGCAGCTTGATTTCTACAGTTATAGTTTCACCTGGCTGGCTGGAACAGTGGAAGTTGTTTTTGACTGGCCTGGAAGACAACAGGCAGAGGAAGCTCTTTGCCCATGGATTATGCTCCACTGGCATTCTGCCGTGGTAGGTTTTATTACTTCCTTTTCAATGGAGGAATTCTATCAGAGTGCTGCCTATGACAGCTCTTCCTCACATGTGCGGTTTCCTAATTAGAGAAAGAAATGGAGCTGCTTGAAATAGTCTCTAAACTGGTCTGATCCAACACAGGAGTAGCCACTGCATTTGTGTACATCCTATCCTGGCAGGGGAAGAAGTTTCATATCACTGAAGTGCCTATGACCAAAAGTAAAACAGTTGCAGAGCATTTCAGTTTAGTCTGAACAGCCCTTCCAAGCTATTTGCAAGTTAGTGATTAATTAATGCTCAAATTTTTTAATGGACCTGAACCAAAGACACAGGCAGTCAGTGCCTATTGGCCTCCAAGGACAAGGCTGCTTCTATTAACTATCCAGCTACATGCAGGCAGCAAGTCAAGGAAATAAATGAAGAAAATACAATGAGCCCAAGAAGGGTGAACTGATAGGGCAAATATTATGGAAATCTACCTTCCAAGATATATTTCTTAGGACTTTTTTCATCCCACTGTGATGCTATTGGGTTCTGTGGGTTGGTGTGTTTGTTTGTTTGTTTTCTTTTCTACAGAAACAGAATCAGGGAGGCTAGGATTGTTCAAAGCTTCTAATGTTGGATTAAGAAGTGGAGACTGAGATTCAGCCTCAAATTCAGGGGACCCTTGGCCTTAAAAAGAAACTACAAAGCAGATCACATTCCCCATTCAGAACTAGCCATACTGGCTCCTTTTAGAGAACAAAGGAAATTAGGATCTCCAGGTCCTATAGAAATATTAATTTAGCCTAATGTTGTTCTGTTGACAGGTGAGAAAACTGAAAAAAACCTGAATAGTCTTGTATTTGCACTGATGGCATGTAATTATACCTGTCAGCTTCTTTTCTTTACAGCATTTGTGGCAAATAAGATCACTACTCCCTTTCATGCCATTATACAAATGGATTAGGTTTGTTGGTGGGTTTTATACATCTCTTCATGTTTTCATGTTTTCCAGGTTTTACATGCTAACTCTATGATCCATAAAAAGCTCTGTATGAGAATGCAATAGATATATTTCTACAGTGGGAATGATTATGAATTTTGTTCAAACTTGCATGACTGAAATGTACTTCGCAATTTTTGAGAGAAGTGGATACCTTACATGCATGAAAATGGGACACAGACTTTAAGTTTGATAGCTGTTTGAATTCTGATATTGTTAGTGTGGACAGTAACTTTTTTTAATAAGAAAAGTAAGAAAATTTTAAAAAAGGATGGGATGGTATAATTAGAAGTGAAAGATCAGTTTTAAATTACTCCAGTTAGTATGACTGAATGTATTCTAAATGAATTGGTTCAGAATTTAGAGGATGATACCTGTCATGTTCTATAGAAACGAATTTGCCACTGAATCTGCACTATTTAAATGAAATCCAGGAGGGAAGGATCTTCCTTCAGTCTGTGCAGGGGGTGTATGTTTGGGGCATATATGGTGGGATAAAAGTGTTGAATTTCTGGCCTCTTCCAACATAGAGAATTAACGTGATTGCATGGATGTCTGAGACCTCGATTAGCATGATCACTAATGGTTACTGCTGGAGTGTCTCTTGTATTTTCATCCGGCAAGCAAAGCACTGCATCAGGTGTAGCTTCCTAAATGTCCTGTTATACATTCCTTAAGAGGTATGTGTGTGTGTCTGGTGGGTCTGTGTCTAACTGATATGTACCTGGTGTATGAGAAACATTAGGGATGTGTTCTGTAAGCCTGGCTCTGCAGAATACTCTATGATAACATGTGCTGCAGATAACAGTGAATGGACTCTGTTTCGAAGGCATAATAAGAGGATTGCAGGCTTGTCTGTTACTTGCCTGGAAGTGGACACAGAAATGTTTAAAACCCTTCTCACACATGCACACATTTGGTGGTAACTGATTAAAAAGGCAGCACAGCAACAGTTAGCTGAGTACCAGGTGAAGAAGCTTTAAAATGAGCTGATATGTTTCCATTAAATTCCATGTTTTACTAGGCATTTACAGGGCTTATGACACAAGGCTTGTAAACTGCTCTGTAACGTTTACCACCAGCAGCTCAGTTGCTGAGCTGTCTCAGTACACACCAGCCTCATAGCTGGGCAAGGAACAAAGGATAAAAGTGGGAGATGAAGGATGAATCCCCAGCTGTAGGACTGAGCATTGCCCTGACAGTGCACCCGGAATTGTTTCCCACTGCAGCTGTGAGCAGCAGCCGTCACAGCCTGACCTGAGAGCAGCCAGTAAAGGACTCTCACATCGACAGCTTTAAAATCTTCTATTGGATTCCTTTATTAGAGTGTTTGAACTGGATCCTCGCTGCAAAGCAGGCAGCCCATAACAGATAATAAAAGGTTTTACTCTTGCAAAGTCTAGCCACGAGATAGGAACATGGAAACAATGGAGACCTGGCAAGAACTGGTATGCTTGTAGCCTGATAGTTATAGGGGAGAAAAATCATCAAGGTGTGTGAGTGCCAGTGTTATCAGCATGTCTGTGGCATTTTGTGTATTTTAATCTTAATTTCAAGCTTCCTTCAGATGAGAAAGGCCCCCATCCAAAGGTGGGCCTTCAGTCATCTATGTGTAGGGCTTTACTCATTGAAATCACTTCTGAGTGGAATAGGAGACTGGAACCCTGGACCAAGGGTTTAGTGGAACAGGTTTTCTTTGTACATCTTTTCTAAGCACATCACCTCTTTGATTTAATGGCCTCAATATAGAAAATGAATTTAATGAAACTTCTTTTGTAAAAAAAACCCAAAACCAAACCAAAACAAAAAAAACCCTGAAAAAAACCAAGAAAAAACCCACCCCATTTTTGAAACCATGGGTGAAGAACACAGAAGAGACCTTACTAATATTATCCCAAGGTAGATCTTTTCACATTACAAACAGCTGAGAGATTATGTCAGTACTTAAAACAGTATAGTTGAATCAACTCGCAAGGAAATCACTTGGCATTTTCCATTTCTCTGAATGTATTGAATTGGAAGCTTGTATCCCTTAAACAGGGTGTAGTTGCACTGCTGAAACCTTTCCCCTATTGTGGTCATAAAGATGTATTTATGTGGCTACAGCCACAAAATAAAAGCTTGGATTGACTGGAGTCTCTTCAGATGCCCAACAGGATCTCTCATCTTGGACTCTTGACACAGTTGGGATCACTGGGTTCATTCTTGTTCTTAACTTCAAGCAGAGTATCTGCCTGCTGCTTGACTGGGGACTCGGGT